GATTTAAACCACTGACCAGCTATATTTAGAATTCCATAAAAATTTAGTTTTGATAATAATAATAATAATTCATGATTTACAAAATCAAATGCTTTAGCAAGATCACAAGATATTCCACCGACATTCACTTTATTATTTAGTGTACTTAAGATTTCATCTGTAAAATTGAACAGTTTAGAGATTTTTCCTAAATCCAAATTGTTCACCTGCAAGGACGTTGTTCGAGTTTAAGAAATCACTTAATCTCTTATACATAACTTTTCAAATATTTTAGAGAATGCTGTTAGTAATGAAATTGGTCTGCAATTAGACATGCAAGATTTTTCACCTTTTTATACAGAGGTTTAACTTTTGAATATTTGAGTCGTTCTGGGAAAGCTCCTACTGCCACTGATTGATTGCAAAGATAACTTGGAGGACCACTAATGTGGTCTGTGCAGCTTTATCGTAACGGTGTATGTATTTCATCATAACCACATTAATTTTTTGATTTGAGAGAATTTATTATACTTTTAATTTCATTTGTTGTTGTAGACATAAGACTTAAATTCGGAAAGGTTTTCGGGATTGCTTCAGCAAGGTACTTTGTTGCGTCTTCTGTCGTCACTGTTAATTCTTTCTATAATTGTTAAGAAGTAAGTATTGAAATAATTTGCTATTATCTATCTTTATTGGTGAGGTCACTTCTTCTGTAGAATATTTACCTGTCTCCTTTTTCACAATTTTCCAGACTGCGAATGAGGTACTACACGTCATTAGGCAAATTACGTGTAATGTTACATGCCAATTAGCAATGTAAAAATACATTCTCGTGCCAATACAATACTGTCCATAAATTTTACGAACAAAATCTTATGACATACGCAATTATAATTTTTTTCTAATATGAAATAGCTAGAGTAACTACGGAAACAAAGTCGCAGTCTGCTGCGTCCTCAGATTTCTCTTTCAGGCATCAATGAATAATTTTTCATTATCACTTCCCTTAAATGATGGCAATGAAATGACTCAGAAAACGACGACAGTTATGCGTCTTTCTGCACGGTAAATGTCGAAGACCAATGGGACACACAAAGAATCTGTTACGTCGAAAGTGTTTTAAATCTGGAACAGGAGACTGTGGTGAGATGCATGATGAAATACGTGAAGTCAGATGTAGTGTTGTAAGCTCAGTCTTCTTTCATTTTACCAGACTGCCTTTTGCTTTCGGAGAACCAAGCCTAACGTTTGTGTTATATAAAATAACGGGCCCTGCCATACGCATAAACCTGCATTTATTTCCATTCTTCTGCTTTCTGGAGTAGGTTTATGGCCTATTCCGACTTCTCGTCTAATACAGGCCTATTTATTCTTAGGGTCGGTTTAAATCAGATCACCATTCTAAAGATCTCATAATGTTCTATCATATGTACACGGTTGTAAACGCTCCGCTCTGAATCTTGAATCTTTTCCTCCATGATTTTTTTTCCAAAATCCTGCTAACAATTTCAATCTTCACAAAACAATGGCA